TAAAGATGAACTGCAAAAGTGAGGTTTTGTTTTGTTCTTTTTGAGTTTGTACCTTTTGATGTATTATATAAAGAAGAAGACCTGAAAGAAATCAATCCAGGGCGATTTTTTTCTTGAGGGGGGGGGAATATAGGGGGGGAAGACACACCAGGTGAGGAGGGGAAGAGTTTGTAGCTCTCTTCATCTGGGTTTTTTTTTTTGTTTGTTTTTTAAACTTATTTTAACTGTAGAAATATTAGTTTGGCAGGAAAGCTTCTTGGGGGTTTAAGAGAAGTGAAATATTGTGAGCTCAGATGAAGGTGGATGTTTAATCTTTAAGGCATCATTTCTCCCAATTTTTTTTTTGCTAGGTATTAGGAATTAAATAAATGCTATAAATCAGAGAAAAACAAAAATGCCCAGTTTTCAGCTGAAGTACAACAGTCACTTCAATGATTGAAATCAATGAAGTCACACCTGTGTAAGGCCCTGATCCTGCACAACTGATGTCAACAGGATCTCTGCTATTGGATACAGTGAATTTATGATCAAGGTTTAAATTAGGAGCGAGAAGAATTAGGCACCCTAAGTGTTAATCAGTTTGACTAAAAGTCCCAACTTCCTCAATTGCTCAGCTTTTGGTTTCTTGTGATGTCATAATTTCATTAGTTCCCATAAAGTCTTCCTGGACAGACAAATCATGAGTTTAAAACAAAAAAAACCCAACACATTTGGGAATTTTGGGGGAATAAATGCCTTTCAGGCCTTATTTAAAAAAAAAAAAAAAAAAATCAAGAGGATGGGGGGGAGAAATAGGCACAAGCGCATCTTCCCCTCCTTTGCAAGTTACATTTGAAATGTTAAGGAATCACAGTCTTAATGCATAATTTTAAAAGCTGTATCTTTTTCAGTAAATGAGTAAAGTCTCGAAGTTTACAAACAGCTGACCCTCAACACCTATACTCCAATAAACCATGTTATTATTAAAATTACAAAATAAGATCCTAATCCTGCAAGCTGTTCTGCATAGAGCCCAAATGACTTCAACAAGCATTATATAAGTGTAGGATTCTGCCCACGTACAGCATCATGTAGCATCAGGGCCTAAATATAATTATTCAACTGTTTCCAACATTACCAGTAGATACAATAGAAACATTCCCTAGCCTCATGATTTTAGGTTACCTTCCCCCATTCTTAACATACTGTTATTTTGGTTAGACAAATATCATGATTAAAAAGTATGTGTCTGCCATGATTGAATATTAAAGTCAGTTCTCCTTACAATACATTAAAAAAAACCACAGTTTTGCTCTTCTTTTTTTTAAAAAAACAAAACATTTGTATTAAAATTCTTAAAACGGATAGACATTAAACGCATGTCTGGAATTAAAGTTACAGTTGTTAGAATTTTCTTGGTACATCACAACATTAAGATTTCTCTCTTTGCTGGCTGGAGGTACATCCTACATCAGAGAACCAAAACAAAAGAAATCCTCCCAAAAAACTAAATGCCTGTAAATTTGAATTAAATGCAGTCCAAATTTGCAAGACATGGAAATGACATTTAAAAGGCTCAAATGGAAATAAGAAATAAATTCCACTAAACAATAGGCTTTTTTGTCCTGGCTTGTTCAGTGTGATTACTGAAAGGAAGCTGTTAAGTAGTTTCTGGAGTAGTAGATAATGGGATTCTGTGGAGCTTTCACAGGTTGGCACCGGCTGGAACAGCTGAGTTTTGAAGGCACTCTACAGACACAGGGTTGCTGTTGGCCCTGTATCACATTTTAGGAAGTCTTTGTACTTTAGAGAGCTAATCAAAATCAGTTATTGCCAACCCAAAAATAAGGAAAACAAACCACCACCACAAACCTCCCTCTCCCCTGAAGAAAAGAAGAAAACACAACTAAAAAAATATTGTGCAGATTTGTAACATTTTCACAGCTGATTTAAAAAAAAAATACTACCGCTCTCCCCCAAACTCCCATCCGATACAGCAGGTAAACAAAATAGAAAGTTTCACAAATGATCAGCAGACACGTTCTGGCACCCCACACTGTATTGGCATCAGTGTTATTAAAAGTCCCAGTTCAGATGTGCAATACTTCAGATTGGATACACTGTAACAATAATCCAACTTTGCATAGAAATCCTCAGAATCAATATCATAGTCACAGGGTGCATTCAAGGTTGGCTAAAGAAGAGAGAGCACCAATCTTAGTTTTACCCCCACACGTCCACGGAAAGATTTCTCTCCCCCTCTCTGCAATGGTTTCTTCGTTTACTGCTCCCCTCAGTTCCTTAAGTGTAATTTAACTCTTCCAGTTAGAAAACGATTGCTCATAAGCTCCCCTTTCTCCAGGCCGAAACTTTTCTTACTGCTGTATTGGCAACTGACACCAATCTGTAAATGGTACTTACGGGAAATATGCAACAATCAAAATCGATGAAATGTACATGCTGAAAAAGCCACGTTTCCAACAATACACCCACCCCATGACACTGATCACTGCAGCAGCTGCTGCTGCAGCCTGGAATCCTTGTGTATGCAAAGTTGTTTCCAATCTTTGTTTCGAGCGATCACATTGCTGCTTCTTTTTGTTGTAAACCTTTGCGAACGACAACATTGCCCCCCACGCCCTTTCAGAGGATCACGCAGGACGAGCAGCACTGATCGTCCCCGTTGGGCTGGGAAGCGTAGTTCATCTGCCTGACAATCTCTGCAAACAGTTCGTCCACTGAAGCTTTGTTTTTGGCTGAAGTTTCCATGAAGGGGCAGCTCCACTCCTCGGCCAGAGCTTTGCCTTCCCCATACGAGACCTCCCGCTCGCCCTCCAGGTCCACCTTGTTGCCCACCAGGATCATGGGCACCTTCTCGTACCTCTTCACCCGGATGATCTGATCCCGCATGGGCTTGATGTCCTGGAAGCTCTGCTGGTTGACCAGGCTGTAGACCAGGATGAAACCTTGCCCGTTCTTGATGTAGAGGTCCCGCATGGAGGCGAACTGCTCGGTGCCGGCGGTGTCCAGGATCTCCAGCACCGAGGGGGAGGAATCCACCTCGATCTCCTTGCGGTAGAAATCCTCGATGGTGGGGTCATACTTCTCGATGAAGGAGCCGGTCACGAACTGCACGGTGAGGGCGGATTTGCCCACCCCGCCCGAGCCCAGCACCACCACTTTGTATTCTCGCATGGCTCCGCTCCGCACACCCGGCTCCTTCCTCTCTGGGTCTCTTCTCTCCCTCCCACCTCCAGTCAGCGGGGAAGGAGGGAGGGGAGAGAAGCCGCCCCGCCGCGGCTCTCACGGGAGCGGGGTGAGCATGCAGCAAGCAGCCGGCGGGGGAGTGAGCAGCGGCTAACGCCCGGGCAGCGCCGGCCCCCTTCGCGCGGCAAGGGCTGTGCTCAGCCTCCCGGGCAGGCTCCTGGGCCAGGCAGCCGCGGCCGAGCCCCGGCAGAACGCGAGGGCAGCGCGAGCCCCTCTGACAGGCAGGCGCCGTGCCCGAGCCTCAGCAGCCCTGGGAGACGGGGAGGCGGCAGCTGCCAGCGGGGCGGGGGAGGAGATCGGGAGTTCTCATCGCCCCCCGGCAGCCAGCGCGTGGTGCACCAGTCCCGCGGTGCCGCCTCGCGCCGCCACGGGCCATCCCTTCCCCGCAGCCTCGCGCTCAGCTCCGCTCACAGCCCGCCCGGACCCATTGGCTCGCGCTAACGCCCTCCCCCCGCCATTGGTTTCTGGAGGGGAGGGAGACCACACAAGGACACGCGCCCCCGCTCGCCCTTTTGTTCGGATTGGCTGCCGCCTAGTGCCCGTCAGGCCGCGCTGCCTCATTGGCTCAGAGGTTTGAGTTCCTCCGCCATTGGGTCTCCAGAGGGAGGAAGATGATTGGCCGGTGAGCCGCTGTCTGTCTTTCTGCCCCGCCTATGAAGGAGTTTTGGCGGATACTTATACTTTACAAAAGGGCAGAAGCGGAAGCGGAGGGACCCGGTGCGGCCCAGGGGGGGTAGGCCCCTTCTCGGAGGCGCCCAGCAGTGCAACCCCCCTCGGGTTAGTCCCAGGGTGGAATTAGGGCAAGCTGCCGCCCTAGGCACCCCCGCCGGGGAGCAGGGCTGTGGCTTACCGCTTTGCCCGGACCCCAGGGGTCACCCACCTAAAACACACGTGCTGGGCACGAGGCGGTGTGGACAGTCTAGAGCAACCCGAGACAGGCAGCTCAGTCGGGTTATTTTGCTCCTTAGGTGAGGTGGAGGGGACCTGGCTGTGGGGACAGAGGTAACGCCCATCTCTCTTCCGAGCCCTCACTGCTGCAGGTAACCGGGAAGGCCCCAGGCTGCCTGACTACCCCTGTTTTGATCTGACAGGGGTGGGGGGAAAAATCCTGGGGTATGAAAAGGGAGGCCTCGCAACCCCTGTAGGAAGAAGGGGCTGGGACCCAGGCCAAGGAAGACCCCCCCCCCTCTCTCTCTCTCTGCAGAATGAATTACTACTAGAGCTCAAGTTCATTTTCCTCTCCTCTGGAGGGAGCAGGGAGAGAGCCGGAAACATGCCCTCCTATGTTTCAACTTGAGCATGGGTAGTCAGTGGTTTCACACCCTGAATTAAAAGCAGGAATGGGGGTTGCCCCCTCTGTATCATGGAGCATGGGTGTCTGGGCACTAGGTCAGGATCACACACCCCACTCCTTGTGAGCAAGTGCAGCTTCATACCAGGTGAGCTGCTCTCCCGGCCACTTGGCAAAGCACTGTGGGGGTGTGTATAGGGGACTTTGTTGCCACCCTCCCAGCAGTGCTTTCGTTGGGTGGGATGGGCAGCTACTCCGTAGAGTCCCCTGCTGGGGTGCAGGGAACCCCCATCTGCTTATGTGGGTATGGCTGAGTCCTCCCTCTCCTCAGAGGGCCATTCACATAATACCCACAGGCACTAGTTCCTATTCTACTTTAAAGACAAGCAGCTGTTTAAAATGTCTGAGTTAAAAATTCATTCAAAGCACCTTAAACTTCTCTTACACACCACACCTGAAGTTTGAATAATTAATGCCCAAGAATGACAACTGCCACATGTTTGACACTATTTGCATTTTGTTGCTTGTTAACAACTCACTCAGACTGTGACTGAGCCAAAGAAACACTGGCTATTTGCCATTGTTTGCAGAAGTCATTCCTTTGTACTTTCTGTCAGTCTATTCGTAGTTTTAAGAAAAACATCACTGGTTATTTTAGCACCTTCCAATCTTTGTTTTGTGTGTATTGGCCATACTTAACAGTTCTCAGTCTTTATCCAATTAACCCTCTCTATCCTAGGCTCAGCCCCGTTTAGGAACTTGTTTAAATGCAGTTCTTCTTAAATTGGTTTATAACTTGATCAGTCTGGTCAGTGCAATCAGAGACAAATTGACAAACCCATTTTTTAAAACAGCATTCTGGAATGGGTGGGCGTTTTCCACACTTGCTGGCCAAACTCATGTTAAAACCATTTTAGCAGGAACTAACACAGTTCTAAAACCACCGTAGGCGGGGCTGCATTATGATGCTACTGTTGCTGATCCTGCACTCTTTGCACACCTGAAACTCCCCATGAAGAAAATGGGGGAGAGATACTATGCTGTGCCTCATGGAAGACAAAGGAGAAAAGTGGCTTTAAACTACCTTTGCATCAGCCAGATTCTGAGCTGCCTGGGGATTAAAGAGGTCCCTGGTGTAAATTAGAAAACAGGGAAGCTTCACCAGTATAAGTCACTTTTTACATTGGTGTAATGCATCCCCACTAGAGTTTTGCGCTAATGCAGTTACATCCATATAGTTAACATGGAGCAAAAAACCCGTTGTAGGTAAACTCTCAGTATGTTCTTCAGTCTCTGTCACAAATGGGGGATACCTTGTGTAAATCCTAATAAGTTTAAGTACATAGATTTGCAAATTATATATGTAAAGTTAGTGACTATTATATGATGGTATCTCCAGGGAAACAATAGCAAAGGTCCAAACTACATCCCCACCACATACTACTCATTGAATTCAGCAAGTTTTTATCTTCAAAGCCTAATTGCTAATGATGAAATAATAATGCATTTTGTTTATTGAGAACTTATATATCAATAGCATCCTATGTGTTTCACAGAAACCCAAACATAAACCACACTCATTAGGTCATCCCCCTGCCTTTCATGTTATCAGTTGAGCCTATTGATATTTAACTCAAGACACCTGGATGATTTTAAAGGAAACAGACAAATTTACACTTTAAACTGCCTTTTATCATAGGGCAGGGATAGAGGCACCGGAGTTAAGGTTGCAGTGTGGCTTTCTGTTTAAAGCTATTCACATACATAGCCAGATTGGTTTGAAAATTACCATTTCAGGTGCCCGGGTAGAGTTTGTGGTGCAAATTTGAGTCCATTTTATCAAAGGGTTCTAGAGATACAGCTCCTCCCCAAATGACCTGTTATTAAAATATAATTCTTACAATTTTTTGCACACAAATAGGAAGCAAACATGGAGGAAAGGATCCAGGGACTTTGTATCACTGGGATGCGCTCCCAGTGAGGTCTAGTGTCCAACACTAAGGAAAACTCCCCAAGTTATTTGACTTTATTTTTGGTTCTGCAAGGTGGATGGCAATAGGAATTGGGAATATCCCAATACTTTACCTCTCCTTAACCACATAAATAAGCCATATTTCTGTGCCCACCACAACTCCAAATCAGGACTCCTATTCATACAGATCAATGGGACCTTTAATGTGGCCTGCATAGCAACACTGATACAGGGACTAACTGCTGTTGGTTGACAGAGATTACATTAGATCAGTGGTTCCCAAACTTCAACAACCTGTGAACCCCTTTCATTAAAATGTCAAGTCTCGTGAACCCCCCTCTTAAAAATGAATATTTCCAGGAATTTTCTCCTTTACCTGAGTATAAATTATAAATGCAGAATCTTGGAAATATAAAATTTGTTTTTGTGACATGCTTATTACACACTATTTATTATTAATCATTACAGTATTTTTATTATGTTATGAAAGCGGCAACACTCTTCCAAGATCTCACTTTTGTAGATTGTATCACTTTGAATAAGCCTGTTATAAGACAAGGCTCCTATGTTTCATCAAGGAGTATCAGATTTGAAACAGCATGAAGGTATCTAAGAAGCCAACTCAAAGAGTTCCTCCTACACAAGCATTCAGGTCTTGAGCAGTCCAGGCAAACAACTCACGTTACAACAAAGCTTAAACTTGTTCTTCATAATAATTTTAAAAATAATACAAGCTGCCTATTTAATTTTAAAAACAGCAAAAAATATCTACCTCCCTTTCCATTTCTTATAAGGGGTCTTGAAGTTTAAATCTCTTCAGTGTGATAGATATGTTTGCTTTGATCTGCTTAGCTCTTGGAAGTCCAGGGGCTCCAGGCTGCTGGCCTCGTGCTGCCCGGGGTCCCTAGGGACAGCTCTGTCCGCCATTAGGGAATTTTTTCCCGAGAACCCCCTGTAACATTTTGCGAACCCCCAGGGGTTCACGAACCCCAGTTTGGGAACCACTGCATTAGATGCACTGAGCTGCCTTTCCTTCTTATTTCAAGCTGCAGAGTCACAGTGAAAGTGACTAAGGCCAGGCCTATGCTACGAAGTTTTGCTGGCACAGTTTTGTTGGTCAGGGTGTGACAAAAACTACACCCCTTAGCTAACACAGCTGTGCCAACAAAATCCCCAGTGTAGACACAGCTATGCCAACAGAAGAGCGCTTTGAAGGGCTAAGGGCTTGTCTACATAGGGAAATTTACCAGCATGATTATATTAGGGCTTGTCTACACTTACATTTTATAGCGCTCTAACTTGCTGGCTCAGGGGTGTGTAAAATCACCCCCCTGAGCGCAGCAAGTCTGAGCGCTTTAAAGTGCTAGTGTAGACAGGCTCCGAGTGCTGGAAACCGTGCTCCCAGCGCTCGGAGCTAATCCCATCATGGAGGTGGATTAACAGGAGCGCTGGGAGAACTCTCTCCCAATGCTCACGCGTGACCACACTCGCACTTCAAAGTGCTGCCGTAGGAGCGTTCCCGCGGCAGCACTTTGAAGTTTCCAGTGTAGACATACCCCTAGTAAAATTATACTGCAATAGTTACATCAGTATAACTCCCCACATAGACAGTTTTACTCAGGAATAAGAGTGCCTTTTTGGAGTTTAGTTTATGTTGCTTTGGATGCCTAAACCTATAGGCAACCAAGAGCCTCTATTAAATTAGGTGCTAATTTCAGCTACACAATTTTGAAAATTGTAGGCCTAAAGCCAGGTCTACACGTAGATTCTGAACTGGTATGACTATTTCAAATTAGGAGTGTGATTTTTTCCCCCCAACGTAGTTATACCAATATAACCCTTGGTGTGGACTCTATACCCTTAATCATTTTTTTGCCTTTTGCTGTGCTTTTTCCATTTCTAATATATATAATTTTAGATGGTGTGACCAGAACTGCATGCAGTATTCAAGGTATGGGTGTGGCATGGATTTATAGAGTGGCATTTTGATATTTACTGTTTTATTGTCTATCCCTTTCCTCATGTTTCCTAACATTCTCTTAGCTTTTTTGACTGCAACCGCACATTGAGCAGATGTTTTCAGAGAACTATTAAGAATGACTCCCACATCTCTTTCTTGAGTGGTAACAGCTAATTTAGATCCAATCATTT